GGCGTCGAACCGATTCCACGTGAAGCAACATCTGCGTATGGTCAGCAAGACAATGATGCTGGTGCAACACTCACACGAGCGGGCTTCTCGGGGTGTGCTGCACAACCGAACATCACGTAGCTCCACATGTCTCACTCATGTGTTTGCACATGTGCACATGTTTGCACAAGTGCATGATCACAAACACATGGGTGAGAGGGGGAGTGGGGTGTGGAGCATTCTATACGCTGGAGTGGGTGGCAGAAGTTCATACTTCAGTTTCATTATCAGAGTCTACGGCAGTCAGGTGCCAAAGGAACGACCTACGGTCAACATGGCACAATAAAAGGGGTGTGGAGTGTGGTCTGCCTCACAATGGGGCAAGATCTGGGAGTTCATTTACACAACAAGGGTCACTGATGCTGATGTCATGCGCCAGCAGCTGAGTGAAGCGCACAGCCATGAGTGGATGCACTACTTTGATCAAGGGCAGAAGGCAACCTAATGTATGTGCACACCTGCTGGAGCTGCGGAAGTGTACCAAGCCGCGCTGGAGCTGCATGAGATGCAGCCACCGTCTGCCAGCTTACCATGGAGCAGCTGCTGCTGGCCGTGCCGGACGACAGCTGCTGGTGCTGCAGTCCGCCAAGTGCTGGTGCAGGGCGTCAGAAGCTGTTGATGCTGCTGTCGCCTGCCAGGAGCTGCTGGTGCTGATGGAGGCCAGGTGCTGCCGCCACTGCTGCCATGCGCCTGCAGCCGTCCGCCTCGCTTCTGCCAGGAGCTGCTAGAGCTGACGGAGGCCAGGTGCTGTTGTTGCTGCAGTGTGCAACCGGGTGCTGCTGGTGCAGGAGAAGGCCGCGAGCTGTTGCTGTCCGCCGGCTGCAGCTGCTCCCGTGCGCCAGCTGGTGTGAAAAGGGGATAGCATCACAAGTGGAAGCAGGCATGAGTAACTCTGCGTTCAGAACAAGAGAAGGCATTACGAGGTACAAGGCACCGTTATAGTGTGAGACAGGGGGAGAAAGCTGGAGACTCACTCACCACGGTGTTGCAATGTGCCAGGCGCTGCTGGAAGTGCTACCGCCCCACAGGTGTTAATAGTGCTGCTGCCGCTCGCCAGGCACTGCTGTTTCTGCTCCAGTTCACCACCAGTTGCGGCTGCTGTCCACCACCAGCTCGTGAGCCGCTTAGCTGCTGCTGCATGGCAGCAGGTGGAGTTGCAGGCGGGCGGGTGAAGCTGCTGCCGCCATGTTCAGCTGCTTCCGTGTGCCACCTGGTGTAGGAGGGGGGGCAGCACAGGGTAACAAGGGTGCATAAGATACGAGGGTGAAAAGAAGTCAGGACTTGGGTGCAGCAGAGAGGAAGAGCACAACACTCGCTCAAACGGATCTGACCTGTAAGGAACACCTCACCTCGGCAGACGAATGGGTAAGCAGCCCTTTGCTGCTAGTCGTCTGCAGCTCATCCGCCGCTATTGCCGCGAGTGTGTCGCCACTGCAACCCGCTGATGCTGCAGCCGAGCGCCGGGTAGTGCTGCTGATGTGCGACACATGCTGCACGCTATTGAAGTTGAAGCTGTTCATCGGCACGAGAAGCTGCCCTGCACAAGCTGCTGGCGGAGACGCCTCTCGTCAGACACTGCTGGTGCTGGCCGCCAGCTGCTGCTGCACCCGTGCGCCAGCCGCTGGTGCTTCTCTGCACATGATGGTTTGAGGGGGAGCATCACAAGACAAGACGATTAAGGAAGAGAGCGAAATTCAAGAAGAGTGGAGAAGGAGAAGACGAGCAACTGCAGTGCTAGGAGAATGCAAGGGTGTTCTTCACCACCACAGCACGAGTCAGGGGGGGAACGCCAAGAGTTTACTCACCACATGCTGGGCGACAGATGCTGCCGCCGTCCGCTGCTGTTGCTGCCGTCAGCTGCAGCTGCGACCAAGAGCTGCTGCTGCCGCCCACCAGGTGCTGCTGGTGCTGCCGGGGGTAAGAAGCTGCCGCCACCGCTGCTATGCTACACCTGCAGGTGGTGGGAAGGACAAACAGTGGAGAAGGAGGTTAGTCACGTGACACAGGCAAGTTTCACAGCTACACTTTGAAGAATGAAAGGTGACTCTTGTGGTCCGAGGGAGAAAGTGTGAGGAAGATAGTGTAGCGGACCGCCAGGTGCTGCAGCTGCGGCCAGCTCATACCATTGCCTGCCGCCTTACCTGAAGCACGATGGCATCAGGAGCTGCAGCCGTGCGTCACCAGCTGCCACTGCCGCCGCTCATCATGGTGGGGTGAGCGAGCCAGGAGAAGGAGGGGAGCGTCAGGTGCAAGCTCGGTCGAAGATGATGCAGCACGTGCGCCACAGGTGCTGCAGCTCGTAAGTATATGTGCGCCAGCCGCTGCAGTCGTGGGCGTCAGCAGGAGAAACAGTCACGCGATAAGGGGAAAGGTCGCGCGCAGCAGCCCGTCCGTTTCTGCAGTCGAGCGCCGGCCACTGCAGCCACGCGCCAACCAGCAGATGCGCATCGGCCGCTGCAGACAAGCGCTAGCTGCTGGCGACGCACTGCTGGTCGTCGCGTTCTGCGCCGTTGGCACGTCAGCAGCTAAAACAGCCGCGCGCCAGCGGCAGAAATCAAGCGCCATCAGCAGCAGCAGCGCGCCTTACTGATTAAGACGCACGACAGCTGCTAAGGGGCACCTTCTGCTGCAGCTGGTCGACAGGCATTTCGCCACGATAATTGGCATTTCGGCATGCTGAGAGCATTTCGCCATGAACAACTGGCATTCGTCATCAGCAGCAGCCATGGCTAGAGTAATACGAACTGCTGAACTAAATTTGAGCGAAATGGTGCTGCTAAAAAGAGGAGCTGCGAATGCGATCTGCAGGAGAAAGGACCGTGAAGAAGTTCATCGCCAGCAGCAGCTAAGTCGCGCAAGGGAGCCAGCTGCTGCTCTCTAATCTCAAGCATTTCGGTCGCTTGGATAAGCTACGATCGCGACAGCGGCAGCCATTGCACTCTTGATCTGGGCCTAGAAGGTGCTGCTAAGTGACGAGAAGGGAATGTCGAGATTGAAGGTTCTTGGGGGAACCAGATCTGAGCAGGAGAGGCGAGAAAGTGGAGCAGCGGAACTCGAAACCCTAAGGGGAGAAACGCGGGTGTTGGAGGGGAAAGCTAGGAAAAGGGTTGGCGAGATTGGGGAAAGTGCAACAGGAGCGGAAAATCGAGCACTGCACACCTGAGGAACGTGCAAAACTGCTACAGTTCGTCTGACGCGTTACCGATCTCAACGGAGGCCCCAGCGTCAGTCTTTTCCGCAATTGACGTCGTGACCTCGATTTCTCGCCGCAATCAACGGGTCGACAAAGGGTACGTATGGTAACATAACCACCTTATCCCTCCATCCTCCACAAAAACGAATTTCAGTGAAATCTACAGCAAGGGGGAGTGTTGGAAATAGAAACATAAGGAAACATATATGCTGTTGGATTTCACTGTAGTCCTCTATATAAGCCTCTAGGCCCTACAATAATTGTACAATTATTGTAGGGGCTGCATTATTGGAGTCTAGAGGTTTGGGGGTAGAATTATTGGTACTCCATTATTAGAGTGACCATTATTGGTGGTACAATTATTGGTGTGGAGAGATAGGGCAGGGTAGTTGGTAGCATAAATTCCCTGCTGTGTGGTTTCATTTCTCAATCCATTGTTCTGAATCCATTCAGTTGCAAGGTTCTCTTGCTATTCTATTTCACAATCAAGGCTTCCGCTACGCCGGCACTATGCCTTTCTAGCATGATGCTTGCTTCAGAGATTTCTTCCTCTTCGCTGGTTGTGGATAGATGGCAGCAAAAACTGATAATCTGGAAATATTTCGAAGTCCAGCTTCCTTGTACTTGCAGTTCTTGACTTTCCGTGAAAACGTCATGATTCTCAGGTCTCATTTTGGGTGGAGATTTAAAATGGACTCGACCACTGAAGCTTCCTTGGAGTAACTCTATGTCTTAAGCTTGAAAGCAGCGTTATAACCTGAAAATACAGATATTCTCAAGTGACGTTACGACTAACCGATGTTCTCTGTTTGAACACAATGTTGGTATCATAAACAAGCCCTTGAAGAGTAGATCTAGAAAATATCTTCAGATCCAAACCACAGTCCTCCTGAACCTTCTTACCAGGGCCCAAAATTGGTTTTGGGGCACCCTGCCATATCAGGGTCCCCCAGAGCCCTTTGCCTGACAGTCAGGGTGGGATTTTTTTTGCCCGGTGCTAGTCAGTGTGTTTTGGCTAGTATCCTGTCTTTGTAAGGCTATTTATGAAACCACCCTGTGTGCTAGGGAAAATCAAAATGCCACTACTGCTTCCCCTACATGCAACCATACATAACCCACCACTAACAAAAGATTGCATCACTCATTCTCTGGTCCCTCCTGGTGCTCTGTACTTGCAGTTGTGTCAGGGACTGCTGCAGGGTTAAACTGAGTATCACTTGGGTTGCTGCCAGTGAAGTCTCGGATTGGCTGCCTGTGTCTGTCGCCACGGAAGATGCGTGCGACATCGAACCAGTCCACGGTGTACTCAAGGAGAGAGCAGCGCATGAGGTGTCCCAGTGATGTGTCTGAGATGCTCCCCCGGCCCCACGTCTTGATAATGTTCTGCTTGCTGAACCCCCTCTCGCACTCCACCGTGCTCAGAGGCAGCACAGCGACTGCTTGCCACAGGAGCATGATGTTGGGGTAGGAGCGCTGCCACTGGTCGTCGCGCAGAGTGTTGCTGAGCGCCTGATGGAAATCTTCGTCATGGTGCTGGGAATGCATAGTCGATGTAAACATCCAGAGCTCAGCGACAGCCTTCGTGTAGTTGAAGCCTGAGGCATAGGGGAAGTGATTCTCATAAGAGTACAAAGCGGCAGATTAGCGTTGGGAGGGGGAAGGGGGGGGGGGAGAGGTGTTGGTTATCAAGAGCATAAGTCATGGGAAGCAGGCCGTGTGCATGCTATTACACCAGGGTGTGACATTCATGTGTGCGCAGAATGAAATATCACAGAATCAACGGGCACAAACCGGGCAGGGTCTCGCGGAAGAGCACGTGGAGCTGCTTCAGCCAGCGCTTGAACGCCGCGACACGCTTGTCATCGTCGAGAAGGTACTTCGATGACAAAAAGAGCTTCGAGCCATCGAGGTGAGACAGATCTCTCAGCCGCTTCTCAAGCTGCTTCACAACCTCCTGCACAAACTTGGTCGACAGCTCGTTGCATGCTGTCGCGTCACCTGCTGTCGCGTCACCGTCTGGGTCTTCACCGCCTGGGTCTTCATCGGCCAGAGGTCGCTCGTGGAGCACGAACTCATGAGAGGATGGGGTCCCATCTCTATCGACCCCTTCCACCTTCATCTTCCGCTTGTCCGGGTCCGACTTCCCATGTGCACGGATGAAGGCAGGCAGATGCATCTTGTCGCCATGACCGAATGTGTGTCCCTCGGGGACACGGAGGTAGCGTTGGGTCAGGCGCATCCTTGTCTGCTCAGCAAGGTGTGCCACCAGAGTCACATCCACCTGTGACGCACGTGCAATACGGAATGAGTGTGTGCCTGTTTTTATGACGAAAATTCACATGCAAACCAGGCATCGAGCTGCCTGTGATACATCAACATAAAGCGTACTAACCTGGCGTTGCTGGAACCGAAGGTTGAGCTGATTGAGCTCGAACAGGACGTCCGCCAGGAGCCGCAGAAGCCAATGAAACTTGAACGACGTTGCCACTTCGTACAACTTCGGCGACTGGTCCTTCAACACAATGGCAGCCGGGAGCACTTCCAGCAGACGAGACAAGGCTTCCCCGCGAGATAACCACCGCACTGTATGGATGCCTTGGACTTCAAGGTTGGTTTGACAGAAGGTGAGCTGTAGATTCATGAAACGCGCGTGCCGGACGTTGCTGTTGGAAAGAAGGGAGGCAAACCCGCGCACGACGTCGTCGACCATGTTGAGTTCCTTCACCGCAGTCGCAGCATCTTTCGCCGCCAGAGCTTCACTGCACGACAGTGGGTGGATCGGTGAAGAAGGGAACATTTTGCCCACGCATTAGGAGAAAACGTGGATTGAAGATAAAACACAACCAAGCCGAGGGGTAAGGCGGAAAAAACAGCACATCATAAAGACGAACCGATGCGCTATGCAATGTGTGGAAACGAGATGAGGAATGTTGGCGCGGAGACGCGCGACCACGCCATTGTGAACCCCGACCATCACGCTCGCGCCATCCGTGGCGATGCCGACCATCTTCTGCAGGTCCACACCAATATGCTGCAGGAACTGAACAACAACTGATGTGAGCGAAGCCGCGTCAGTCCGCTCAACCGTGAGAAGTGTTAAAAACTCAGTCGCGACCAGCGTTCCCTTGAAGAAGGTGGCATAGATGATCAGGTGCTTCCCGTGGATGCGATCCGTGCTCTCGTCGATGCCAATCCCGAACCACGGTGAGGTCAGGAGGTGCTGCAGCTGCAGGTCCTGCAGGTAAGTCGACATCGATCTGATCTTCTCTTTGAAACCGTAGCTGCAAACACGAGGGACAGATGTGGAAGTATCAGTAGCTGCCGATATGACAGGCAATACAACATGCTAGAAAAAAACAGATGCATTTACTTACTCCGTATAGTACGCGCCGTAGCCACCAGTGGGCGGAAGATCGGGTAGTCCCTCTCTGGCTAGGAACCAGCAGAGAGGAACAAACAGGGCGATTGGAGCATCCGCCTTACAGATGAACATGGCGATGTGCAGACAGCGGATTATGTGACGTGTTGATGCGTCCGTGGCTTGCCAACGCGTCAGAGTGAGTTGACGCTCACGACGCGCCTCAGCCTCAGCTTCCACCTTCAAGGCAGCCTTGTGCGCCCGAGTCGCAACATGGGCGCGCATGCTGCCAAGCTGAAGATCGCGGCCGCCCTCGCCCTTGACGCCGTACGTCGTGTTGGCAGAGGGATCGCCATGCAGCATGTAGACGTTGCACTTCAACGAGGGGCGGCCTGCTTTCGTGCGATGCAAACGAAGCCACGGAAAACGGGATGCCCAGTCAGAATCAAAACGGTGTTTCATGATTGCATACTCAGCGTCAGCATCCGATTTGGGTAACTCCTCATCAGCATTCACAAGCGGTGCTGCACGAGGAGGACTTGGTGGTTGGCGTGGGGGCTTTGCACCCCACAGAAGCTGCTGGGTGTATTTCACACCACCGGTGCGAGGACGCTTGGCAGGAGCGCTATTCACTGTTGACGGAGTGCTCTCGCCGCGGTTTGAAGGGCCCTCGTCACCACCAGGCACAAGAGTCACGGACGGGTGTGGCTCCACGACAGTCGGCGAGCTCGGTGCGCCCCACGCATATACCATGCCGACTGAACGGACTGGTGATTCGGGGCGAGGAGGTTCGTTGACAGGAGTGGCATAAGCTTTGCCCAGGCGGGGGAAAACCCCGAGCACAGAAAGTCCATTGCGAGGAGAAGCAGGAGCTTCTCCTGATTCCTCGTCTGGCATGGCAAGGTGGTGCTAGTGGAACTGAGAGGCGGATGGAAGACAGGGTGGAAGAGAAAGGGGTGTATGAAAGAGAAGGCTCTAGATCGAAGGGTTTGTCCTAGGGGAAAGCGCAGCCAGAAGGTGTGGCGCTGCGCATGCAAGCAATAAGCCAAGGAAGCCCCACCACCCACAGTCTGCAAGGACAGTCCGTGGCATGGTGGTGTGGGCTCCCTTGCCGTGCTGGATGTAAATGCTGTAGAGGCAGCGAATCACTTCTTCTGTGGTGTGGTCTGTTTTGGCGAGCTGACAGCGCGACAGCAACCGGTGGGGCTGGTTTTGTAACCATCTCGGCCTAGTGGCCAGATGGGCCTTGTTGTACCGAAACGACGCGAAGAAAGTCTGTTTCAGTGCATTTCAAAAAGTACCCTGACGAAACAGGGGAAATCTCGAGTAGGCCTGATTTTGCAAGTGTATTTCAAAAAGTACATTTTCACAGTCAGGGTCAAAAGGTAAATACACTTACTGAATCAGGGCAATCCTGGAAAAGCGGCCCATAGCAAGGGTAGAAAGGGTAAAACACCCTTGAATTTTGGGCCCTGCTTCTTACCCTTGCTCCTCCTGACCCGCCTCTATTAGCACAGGCACTCCTCCCCCAGCAACCGAGTCATGCACAGCACACACCACCCGCTGTGTCCGCTCCATCATATCCACCCATCGCCCAACCAATGCCGCCTTCCCTCCCCCCTCTCTCACTCCCCTCACGATCCGTGCCAGCTCAGCAATCATATTTGCCTCCTGCGTCCACGTCAGTACAGTTTCTCTCCTCTCAACCGTGGATTTCACCCCCAGACTCGGATTTGGCCACTTGGACCCCTTTTCAATCACAAATTCGGCCTTATCTTCCTGGAAGGGGATGCAGAAGTCCTCGAGTGTGATTGTAGCGAGGGAGCCTGCAAACTCAAGGCGCTGAGAATCAATGGAATCAAATCCACACTGGAAGAGAGCTGTTAACCCGTTTCGCCAGCACAGGTAACCACCGCAGCGAATCAAAACGCCTTCTTCGTTAACCTTGGGATCTGGAAAACCCAGCACTTTATACGGAAGCTCGAAATCTGCAGCCCAGAGTGACGCTCGAATGCAATACCACCCAATGTCTCCCAAACACCCCAATCCGTCTAGGTCCTTCTTCAGCCGAATGTCTTTCTGCATAAATTCCTCTGATCCTGGGAAGAAAAAATTCGCCGTCACACGCATGAGCTGCCCAAAAGATTCTCTATCCTGCATGGCCGCTTTCATTTCGGCTGCCCGTGGGTTGTGCATCCACATCGTGCCGTCCATGATCTGGACTCCCGCCGAATCGACGGCTGCGATCATGGTTTCCAGATCGGCCGCATTCAGCGAAACGGGCTTCTCTAGCAGAATATGCTTTCCGTGATTCGCGGCTTTCACCACCCACTCCACGTGGAGCGCAGTCGGCAGCGGGATGTAAACGGCGTCCACTAACGGGTCCGCAATGACGTCAGCGTAGCTGCCGTAAATCGCGGCGTCGCCAGCCATGCCGACCTCCTTAGCGAACTGCGCGGCTCGCTCGTAAGAACGGCTACCTATGGCGTACGGAATGACGCCTGGTACGCACTGCATTGAGCGAATTACCTTCCGCGCAATCCTCGCCGTACCTAGGATTCCGAATCTCACAGGCATGGGATTCAGCGGCGCCTCAGGTTCGACCATGACTCCTCTTTGCGAATACACAGAAGGTTTCTGGATACTCGGGAGGGCTGAAAGACCGGTAGCGCGGACGAATGGTCGAGCAAGGAGTATCGATGAGGGCAGAAAAGGAAGTGGAAGGTGGATCGGTGGCATCATGCCTTTATCACGTGGTATTCAATGCGCTCAAACAGCACCTGATGTGCGCGCAACGAAGGGGAATGCGGAGAATAGTGGCTCGGGTGTCGCGAACCTTGCTAAGGGCGTGTAAAGTCGCGCACCATTTGCGAAATTTGCAAATGGCTGGAAATCCGACGACTTTTTGGTCGTTATTTCTTTCGCGAACAACGACCACTCTCTGTCGACATTTGGTCGCCCACCAAAACGGCCTGTACTTGCCATTTTGTAGACTCGCTCACAAGTTTGCAGGCCGATTTGCAGGCCGCATGAACAAACATGTCAAATTTGCAGCCTCGCACAAACCAGCCACTTTGCGACACAGTCGCACATTTGACTCCAGTAGTGGCACAACCACTCGTTCTAACGCAGGGGCGCTTGTGCGACGATGGACACATCCGTCGCACTGACTAGTCCGCTTCGTGGCCGTTTGCGAGTCGACTTGGCGTCGTTGTCGTGTCGGTTCGCTGAAACGGCCATCAAATATTTCGTGATTTCGCGAAATTGCCGAGCTTCGCCCAAAACACGGCGAGTGTCGTAAGAGGGTTACTTTCGCCAACAACGGCCCGACGGATTTTCCCAAAAATTGGTGGCACGACTTTACACGCCCTAAGACACCAAACCGGTAAGATTGGTGTGTCAGGCAACAGTCAAGAAACCACACCCGCGACGTTCTCACAGCGCAAGCTGCTCGCTTCAAGCTTGTCTGAATGTCAAGATCTATATAGCGTGGCAGGATGGAGTTATTAGCTTAGGGTGTTGTACAGAAACTAGTAAACATAACGTGATCATTAAGGAATCATATTATCATAGATAAATTAGGGGTTTTTCGACCACGGAAATATTTTTATTTTTTCTAAATTTTTGGGTGTATTTTTAAACAAAAATGCTATCACAAGAGTATTTCCTAAAACGTAGATACTCACATATTTCAACTTTCTTGCTATCCCCTCCATCCTGCGTCTCTCGTAACGGGTACATTCCGACCCTTCTCTCAAAGCAACCGTCCACAAACACGTGCGTGGGCTGTCCGATCAGCTAGTCTCAAACCAGGTTGAACATTAGGGCGTGCAACATTGTATCGACCAAGCCTAAAATCCGACACAATGGTTGGGTCATGCGAAAGCGAGATCTGTAACGTTTGAACGAACCCCGTGTCAGAAAGAGGAGCTTAAGTTAAGAACCATGGCGGCTAGGGTTTGGCTAGGAGGTGAGTGTCGAACAAGAGAACAAGAACACGAGGTGCACCACCAACAGTTAGTAATAACTACATTATGTCATAAACTAACGAGCATGAATGATTACGTTGATATCGAACGAGTACAAGTACTAACTCTAATTGGGTTGTGCCCCATATAGGCTACCCCACTACAGCTTACACAACATAAGCAGCATTATAGTTTGACACACCCCCATAGGCAAAGTGGGGGAGAACAAAGGGTCACAAGACCAGTCAAGAAAAACAAACCAAGCGCAGGGTGGATCACGAAGTCGCCACACACTCTGAGCATAAGCGAATGGCCAGAAGGCCGGGCTAGATGCAGAGATATATAAAAGACAGCAAACAGTACAGTGATCACTACCTAGCAAGAGTAAGCATGCAGGTAAATATATTGGTCAAAGTACAAGCAAATTCAAGCAGTGATCAAGTGAGGCAAAACAAGCACAAAGCCCAACCCAGTACAGAAGTGCTGATGATCACAAGGCTGAAGTGCCTTGGTGAATATATCAGGAGTGTTGGCCCGAGTGGCCACATAAGCAAGACGAAGCTGACCAGACTGCTGCAACTCTCGAGCAAGGAAGTAACGCAGAGCGATGTGCTTCGTTCTATGCTCCAGTCTGTGCTCCTCACACAAGGCAATTGCAGCCTTGTTGTCTACGTACAGACCTGGAGGAGAACGAGGCCGCTCTCCCAAGTCGCTCAACAGGTTGGTGAGCCAGCGTAACTCCTATGCAGCCTGGCTGTCGCGTAGATCTCAGCCTCACAGCTTGAGCTGAGAACAAAAGACGAGCGGGTAGACCGCCAAGAAACAAAGCCGGAGCCAAGGCTGAATGAGTAACCCTGAGACAACCGATGCGTAGTCAGGTCGTCAACCCACGAAGCGTCTGAGTGTCTAGTGAGGACAACTGGACCCCGCCCTCCAAGCAAGAGCCCCATGCCCGATCTACTGCACGAGTAACACAATACCCTCTTTGCAGCATCCCAGTGCACCTTTCGGTGCCTACCAGGAGCCATGTAGCGTGTCAGAAGGCCAAGAGGGTACGCAAGGTCAGGACGAGTGTAGGTCATCAAGTACATGAGGCAGCCCACTAGCTCTGGGTACGGGCCATTCGGCTCTATGGACTCGTCCGAAGGTGGAGCTAAGAGCGAGTGACCGGTAGCCAGAGGAGTGGACTGTGGCAAGGACCAAGTGAAGCCGAAGCGCTGAAGGACCTGCTGCACCATGTGTGACTGAGTCAGGGTGATGGTGCGTCGATCTCTGTCACGGGTGATCTGCAAGCCAAGATAGCTGCGCAGCTCACCCTGGTCTGTGCACGTGTGTCTCTTCTGCAGCTCCGACTTCACAAGGGCGTGTGCCTCAGTGTCAGAAGTGGCAAAAACCAAGTCGTCGACGCGCACGAGGATGTAGAACGGCAGCAGCGAAGTGTCGGTGCGGAGAAACAGAGACGGGTCTGCAGTCAAAGAAGCAAACCCAAGTGCCGCGTGTCTCGTCCTCAATGTGTCGTACCACTTACGAGGCGCCTGGCGGAGACCGTAGACTGGCCGTCGGAGGCTCCACTGGGTACCTGCAGGAAACGACCCAGTGAAGCCAGGTGGACGGTGCAGCCAGATCTCCTTGTGCAGGCTGCCCTGTAGGAAGGCTATGGTGAGGTCAAGAGAGTGAAGCTCGTAGTCACGCTGAGCGGCAACGTGCAGTAGCACCCAAAGAGTGGTCATCTTCGGGGTAGGGGAGAAGGTCTGGAAGAAGTCAACTCCCTGTCGCTGACTGAAGCCTCGTGCAACGTAACGAGCCTTGAAGACAGGCGGAGAACCCGGCGGCCGCTTCACCCTGAAAATCCACATGCCATCGACAATGTTCGCCCCAGGAGGGGGAACGATTCGTACGTGCTCCTCACGTGCCTTTTTCCTTTTTCGCGTTTTCTTTTTTAGCCGACGCAGATGCAGCGGGTAGTGCAGTTTCTGCGGCTGTAACGCTGACGGGCTGCTGCTGTAGAAGGGATAGCAGCGCGTTGACCTGGTTCGGGGTCAACGCCTGCGTTAGTGCAGGGGCGGTCGTCGCGTCAGACGAGGAGACCGCAGTCCGCCTCCTCTGGTGCTGACGCGACGGTCCAGCCGCGGGTGCTAGGGTGTGCTCGGCGTCAGGTACGTGTGCCGCGCCAGCTGCCGTCGCCACTTGCGCCGCAGGTGCCACTGGCGCCACAGGGGCCGAAGGGTGCTGCTGGGCGTCGGCACTTTTGTTGAACCTCGAGCCCGCCTAGCAGCACGTCCACTGCAGTCGGGGCGGGCGGTCCATCTTCTGCCCGGCGCTTGTTACGGCGGTCGCCTGCAAAATCGCGGGTGTTACGGTCAGAGTCGGAAGCGGGGTTGGACGAGTTCCCGTTGTTAAGTGTCGTCGTCGGTGCCATCGTTGAGCGATTGAAGTTAAAAATATCGCTAAGTAAAGTCGAGGGTGACTCGCCTCTAGGAAGCGATTTTGTTCTAGCCAGCTTGGAAGGAGAGAAAGACTGCGTGAGCGTGTCAGAATCCCAACCACTAGACCATTGGGATAAAAGGGCTTGTTTCAGTAGCGGGTCAGTGCGCCCATAACCCCCCAGGCAAACGCGCCTGTAACCCCCCCTAGGATCGATCGGAGATCTCACAGTGTAGCTCTAATGACACCCCCCCACACTGGGAGGCCCATGACTGAGCACAGTGGCAACGACCAACATGTGCATACACCGGGATTCGAACCCGAAACCGCTCTAATACCATGTCAGAATCCCAACTACTAGACCATTCGGATAAAAGGGCTTGTTTCGGTAGCGGGTCAGTGCGCCCATAAACCCCCAGGCAAACGCGCCTGTAACCCCCCCTAAGGATCGATCGGGGATCTCACAGTGTAGCTCTACTGACAGAGCGGAAATGTTGTGTGAGCCGTTTGAAATAGAGAAACGTGGGTGGAGGGAATGAGCTCCAGCCCACGGTTTTTGTAGTTGGAGAAGGGCGTTTAGCGCGCTTCGACGATGCCAATTGTGCAGTACAAGCAGCTTCGCTTTCACAATACACAATTTAAAAACACAATGTGTGTTTAAAAAATATAATGTCCTGATGTGTTGGAAATAGAAACACAAGGAAACATATATGCTGTTAGATTTCACTTTAGTCCTCTATATAAGCCTCTAGGCCCTACAATAATTGTACAATTATTGTAGGGGCTGCATTATTGGAGTTTAGAGGTTTGAGGGTAGAATTATTGGTACTCCATTATTAGAGTGACCATTATTGGTGGTACAATTATTGGTGTGGAGAGATAGGGCAGGGTGGCTGGTAGCATAAATTCCCTGCTGTGTGGTTTCATTTCTCAATCCATTGTTCTGAATCCATTCAGTTGCAAGGTTCTCTTGCTATTCTATTTCACAATCAAGGCTTCCGCTACGCCGGCACTATGCCTTTCTAGCATGGTATCAGAGCTACTCTAGGGGGCATGCTGCCAAAACTTGGTCAGAACACTGTGATCATTAATATTGGGCAAGCACATAAGCAGATTGGCATAGCA